CGATGATCCCAAGGGTCTTTTCCAACCTGACGTGTTCTATGATTCTATGTTCCACTGTGGCTCCGGGCTGAATGTGACCCATGGGCAGTACACAGTCGCCATCACAGGATACTACATCTTCACTGCTACATTGCACATTGGTGAGCCCTCACGTACCCTCCATGTCCCTGCTGGGGAGGTCCAGGACAGCTGTCTCCCTCACATCTGTTTCAGTATACAGAGAAAAGCAGAGGAAGGGGCTGAAGAGGCTGGCAGCAGGGTCCTGCCAGACATGAAGCCTCTGCAGCTCCCGCCCAGAAGAGCTCAGCCCAGGCAGCACCTCCCAGTTACCATGTGTGACTGTGAGCCAAGGCAGTCTCACTCTGACCAGCTACCTTCCCTTCCTGCCAAACACACCTGAGAAGATACAAAAGGACTCACTGTTGATGAGTGTTGCTTGTTGAGCTAGTTAGGTGTCCTCTAAGAGCAAGATGTAAAAAGTCTAGTGCACTTGAACACAACATGAGAAGAGCTGATTAAGCCAGAGTTACTGGAGGGTACTTTAGGTGTTAGGGCTAACTGAGCTTTTAGCCTCCTCCCAAGGAAAGGGAGCCGTATATAGAGCACTTGTGTGGGCAACCCCAGGGCGGTGGTCCCAGACCTCCCCTCAGTAGTAGGATGCTACTAAGCAATAAGGCAGGGAGAGTTTATTTTCAGGAAACCTCTTGCAGATCCCACCCTAATAGGAAATACAAGCAAACAGTTTTTTGAATTTGACCAAAGCTATGGTTGAATCCTTTGCAACTGGCTGGATATTCACAAGCACGGTGAAACCTACTCCAGTGCTGCTTTTTCCCCTTTGCCTTGAAAATGGATGATACGGTCCATTTTATGGAAATCACTATTAACTGTCCCATAACACTGTGTATTATGTCCCTAGATGGAGTTGTGCTTTCAGTACTCTTTCTAATGGAAATGAAGAGTTTTAAGAGGAGGGAGGGGAAGAGAAGACAGTTAGAAAGGACAAGCTGACACTTCTCTCACCAGCCCTTGCACTGCAATTAAGAGGGGTCTCCTGGTGCTTGTCTCACCTCTTGCAGTGCACCACACAGCTCTTCCCAGCACAAGAGCTGTGGAAAACAGGGAGATGAGAAGGGAGGGCAAGTTGCCTTTCTGAGATCTGCATACAAGTTTCTTTTGCCAGAGACTGAATAAACTCCATACTACTCCATCTTGGCTCTCCAAAATTGTCTTTCAAGAGGAGAAACAGCAGTGTGCTGCTAAGATGGGCAGTTCTTTCTCAGTTCATCCTGCAGTGCAACCTTACAGAGTACAAAGCAACGGCCAGGAGCAAAACAAGCTGACAGAGGCAAGTGATACTCAAAATATATGCTGGAGGTCCACCTCCTTCCTCAGTGCTCTGCAGGAGATGGGGAGTTAATTCAAGCTAGGCTGAGTTAGCCCAACTATTAGCATAAGCCCACAAACTTTAACTGACTCGTGCTGTAGTAGAAATAGATAAAAAACAGTCAAGCCATCTGTCCCAAACAAGATAGCTTTTGTGTGCTCAAGGAAACACACAGCCCAGTATCTGGGACCATGTCCCAAAGCTTTAGGGAACAGAAAAGAACCCAGGAAGCCTCACAACCCTGTACAGGACTACGCACTAAAGAGCAGGCACCACCAAACCAACCTGCCCAACCTCTCTCTGGGACTGCACTACTTGCCATGCAGAGCAAGGAGGTTGTGCAAGAAACAACTACTCAGATCCACTGGCTCATCTCTTTGCACCATCATAGCCACAAGATAGGAAAGTTGCATAATTTGGAATTTAATTTCTTTGGCAGCCCAATCCGTTTGGCTGACACACTGTCCTTTGGTCTTAAGCCAAACTTTCTCTGGAAAATATCACACCAACTCTCTGCAGCAACAACTGGTAGAGGAATGGGGAAGGGATGAGATACCAGACACTTAATAGCTCTAAGTACCTAAAACCCAAGATGCCTGCTCCTCAGATAGCACACAGATAAGCACAGAGCCTGCCCTTATCTTTGCTGCCTGGCAGGTCCATTTGATGAAAACACTTACCTGATAAACATCAGGAGCAAACTCCAGCCACTTTTGCTACATCAACAACTGGGATAAAACCCCAGTGTTTTTTGCAGCAAGTGGTGTTTGTATCACTGAGCTGCATGCAACCTCACATCCCAGCTTCAGAACCAGAAGATTTCATTCCCAGCACCAAGAGAACAGTCCAAACTGTGTCCCAAGCTGCTGGTCTGGTACTGCACAGTCTGTATGTACAGCCTGACGAGGAGCACCCACTTAGTCCTAGTTGCTCAGGACTCTCCCAGGGCCTCATACAAAGTTCAAAGATACGAACAGCAGAACTGCACTGTTTGGAACAGCTGGCAGAGTTCACGTTCACAGATGCCTGCTCTTGCTAGCACCTCTGCCAAATGGATTTATTTGGTTTGCCAAGACACTCATGGGGGGTTGACAGGACAAGAGATTTCCGCATAGGCTGATCCACTGTGGTAGTCACTTAGAAAATACCGCTAGCCAGGTGACCTAGAAACTATTAGAAACCCTACCCTCCATGAACTTTATTTACACTGAGGAGCATCCAGCAGGACCCTCCTTCCCCTGGCTACACATGCACACACAGAGACTTCTTTCTTCCCTTACATCCGCCACAAGCTGGGAATCCTGCTGCTGCACCTCATCTCAGTGCTCTATCCGGACAACCATGACCGTGACGTTGTCTGCCGACCCTCGTTGTACTGCCTTGTTGGCCAGTCTGTTACACGCAGCTTCATATCTAGCATCCGCTTCTAGCTTCCCTTCTCTCATCTGGATGTTCTTATCCTGTTGGGATGAGGAAAGACAATGCTGATTGCTCCCAGCAAAGCACGTAGGTGCAAGCACATGGTAATATCCAAGCATGAGGAAGCAAAACAAATAAGGTCACTCAGGTATAAGGGAGGATACCATGGGAGAAGCATATTTCTGCAAGTCAGAGTCATTCCATTTTGTGCCCCCTGCACTAGTAAACCCAGCCCCCATGCTGCCTTCTCCTCACCTCCAGGCAGGACACAATGAAGTTCACAGCTTCTTCTGGTGTAAAGACTTTAAAGAGGCCATCACATGCTATCAGAATGAACCTGAAATTCAAGCAGAAATGGGTTCCAAGGCTGAATTTTTGGCTCCCCAGCTACAGCAAAATCCCTCCAAGCTATTTTATGAGTCTAATCCAAAGAGAAGATGACATAAAGCTCAACTAAAAAAAAAATCCCTCAGAAGCAGCAGAAATCCTCTGGTGCTCTAGAACCTACCATTCACAGAGCTGACACAATTTAAAGTACAGGCCAAAGACAGAGGCAACAATCTAAGACCTAGATCAGGACTTGGCAGGACTTCCTGGCAATCTTACTGACATTGCACTGTTGGGCAAGATCATTTACCATGTCATTATTTTACTTCATTATTTCTCTAGGAATGCTTCTTTTTCCTTTTAGTCCTTTTCATTCACTTTTTTTCCCTGTGAAATAGCTAATGCAAGAAATATTGAAACACAGCCAGCTTAATACCTTACATGCATCCCTTTAAATGCTTTATATTTCAACACTCCTGCGGTATGCAATAACATAAATAGAAGCCAGCAGTTTAAATCAAATTAGAGGCAGAACTGTGATCAGAAAACTCTGCCACTAGGTATTACCACAAGCTGCAAAGGTTGAGGGGATATAATGCTCAAGGCAGGGAGAGCTGCCTCCTAGCCCTCTACCAGACAGGGAGACAGCCTGCTGTGCACCACCTGCCTGCACAGGTGACTCCCTTAAGCAGGAGTCCTAACCAGTCACCAGACAAGAAAAAACTACAATCATCCCACAGGGGTGGCCAGCCTGCAAGAGCAGCACATGTCTCTTAAGACATCATTTCAGAGCCTGACGCTCAGAACATCTTTAGAAATATTTTAGTGGATCACTTGATACAGAACTCTAAACCCAGAAAAAAGCAGCAGTACTGGGTTACATTCTCACCTCAGAGAGCCTGCAGGGCCATACTGACATGAAAGCTCACAGCAATTTGCTATTGCAAATCATGTTAGAAAAGTATCTCAAATATCAGAGCTGGATACAGTGCTTTTTGTGGGCACCACAGCTGCTAGAAACAATTCTCAGAACATGATATGGGTCCAAGCACTCAAGTCTTAACTAACTGCTTGAACACTGGTGTGTGAACTTTATTCAGAGCATGAAGGAAGTCCAAGGCTTGTGTATATTATCACTGCCGTGAGACTGGTTTCTCCAACAGAAGCTGTCACAGTATCTTGGCAGAGTGAGGCAGCAGCAGCATCCCACTGTGCCAATAAGTAACAGGAGTGGAGAGAAATCAGCAGTAAAAGCAACCTCTAACTCTGAGTGATCAGTCTGAATGCCTCAGCCCTAACGGCAGACCACACAGGGTTACAGAGCTTGTGCTACTTCTGCTAAGCAGAGCTAGGACACAGCCAACCCCCTTGTGTGTGGGCACACTTTACCTGTCATTGTGCATGAGTTGGCAGCGTTTGATATCTGGCACAGAGATAACACCACAGCGTTTGTACTGCCCATCCCCGATGGAGCGGGAAACCTCAAGCACTCCTAGGACTCTTCCATCCCTGGACAAAGAAGGAAAACATTGAGACCCCTCCCCACACATGCACATCTCATTGCACTGCCTGATAGGAACACTCTTCATATCCAGTTGTCTCATACAAATCCTGATCCACTTCCCTGGCAAGTTCAAATTTTCCCACAAAGTCTCCTTTCTCTTCTGCATGTTTGTGTGAAGCTTTGGGAAACAAGTGGAAAGGGAGAGGAAGAAATGAAGTCAGGAGTATTCAAGGCTGGTTTTTGTCTCCCTGCCCTAATACAAGTCCTGCTTAGCCTAGCAAGCCAGGGAAGAGTTAGCATATATGCTGAGTTGAACTACTGGAGGCAGTGGTTTGAATTCACAGATTTTTTGGCAAAGCATCTAGCAAACTGCATTTCAATGGAAGCACATAAAGGCAACAGGCAAGACAAGCTCTGAGACAGCAGCCCCTCTCCTATGCTCTGCCTATCAGGACACCAAACCCTATAGAATGGCTCAGCTGGGGGCAGTTCCAAGGAGCAAGAACCATGACACTTTCTCCTGATCATAGTATCATACAATAGTTTGGGTTGGAAGAGAACTTAAAGATGTCTAGTTCCAACCCCCACTGCCACGAACAGGGACACCTTCCACTAGATCTGGTTGCTCAAAGTCCCATCCAACCTGGCCCTGAATGCTTCCAGGGACAGGACATCCACAACTGCTCTGGGTAACCTGTTGCAGTGTTTCACCATCCTCACAGTAAAGAATTTCTTCACAGTTCTGTGAAAACCAAGTTACAACACTTCTTAGAAAGCAGTTTTGTTTGCTAAATTATTCTGATTAACTGAGTGCTGCCTCAACAGAAGCAGCTTCCCACACTCCACCTTTCCAACAATCGCTTAAGCATCTTCTACCCCAAAAGGCTCTTCTGTGTACTCTGGAAAGGCACAAGTTCATTCATCTCGTAGTTCAGCCAGCCCTGCTAGAGATAAAAGCAAGAGGTGAGCCACCTCACAGCGAAGAGCTCACACACGTTGCAATTTCTCCCTTGGGTCTAAAATATTTAACAACAAGCAGTGGGAGAGGCTCCTAGACAGCTGTTTCCCCAGTTCTGAAAAGAGCTAACAAGACACTGACCAATCTCTTTCCTGTATGCAAGGATGCTTTATGCTAAGCATAAAGCAGCAGCATGTGGGGATAAGGGGATCAAGGCCTTCCAGACATGGCAGTGAGACAGAATCAAGCCTACATCTCCCCACCACAGGGGCATTCTGCCTCTGCAGACACTAAGATGCTTCACCTGCATGGAGTCCTCTCTTGTGAGGATGCCATTAAATCAAGAAACAGCCTTCAAAGAAGGAGGAGAACCTAGCCAGGGAAATCAGACACAGCTGCCCAAACAGCCATGCACAGCTACCTGCACAGGAACACTAAGACAATCCTGCACTGGCTCAAGAAGCCTCCTCCTACTACAGAACACCTCAGTACAGCAGCTAACCCCCAGAGGAGTAACATCAACTGACACTGAAGGCTTCTCATGCCCACTGAAACCACGCCCCCACCCTGCCTGTACAGGATGAGGGAGAGATAATGTTGCAAGCAAGGAAGTGGGTTCTGTTCAATGCTATAGTGTGCAGAAAGTGATAACTTCTTAAACAATCAAGTCCAGCTCTGTAGGCCAAGCTTAGGAATGTACAGGCTGGCATCACACTGCTAGGCTTTTACATGGGTTCCTGCCTTTGCAGCACAGCACTCCACTGACACTGTAAGTCCCCAAGAAATCAGACCCCATCAACCAACTCAAGCAAGTGAATCCTGAGACACCTCATGCATGACTGTGTTTCGCACAGGCAGCTGCTGATTCTCTCTAGGCACTCACTAGCATGAGCACTAGACTCAGGAAACTCCAGAAACTCAGTGCTGAGGCCCAAAGTTGGGCTAGAGTTTAGATTTGCTTGTTCACAACCTTTATGTACTTACCTGACATTTCCTCCAGCCTTCTGTATCCTCATACGCTCCTCATATTGGGTGGGGTTGTGCTCCTTACTGAGGCTTAAAGCTGTGTGTTTCTGACTCTCTTCATTGTAACGACATAGAATCGCCTGTGCTGACAAAGGATCCTCATGAGTAAACAACAAAACTGCAGCAAAAAGAACTTCCTGAGAGCAAGCTGCAAGTTGTAGTGAATGGGGCTACATCTGGCTGGCAACCAGCGACCAGCAGCGCTCCTCAGGGCTCAGTCTTGGGGCCAGCGCTGTCCAATATTTTTATCAGTGATCTGGATGAAGGAGTCAAGCACATTATTAGCAAGTTTGCTCACAATACTGGGAGCACTGCTGTGTCAAGCAACAGGAGGCCTTCAGAAGGATCTATATATATTGCTATAAAGATCAAAGCATTGGGCAATCACGAACGGCATTAAATTTAATAAGTCCAAGTGCTCGATTCAGCTCCTGGTACGGAATAATGCTGGACACAAGTATAGATTGGGAGAGGAATGGCTGGAGAGCAGCCCTGCAGAAAGGGGATCTGGGGCTGCTGATGAGCAGCATCTCAATAGGAGCCACCCGTGCATGCTGGCAGCCAAGAGGGCAAACCCTGTCCTGGGGTGCATCAATCACAGCATGGACCAGCTGGTCAAAAGAGGGAATTATTCCGCTGCACTCAGCATTGGTGCGGCCTCACACTGAGCACTGTGTGCAGTTCTGGGCCCCGCCGTTTGGGAAGAATGTGAAGGTCTTTAAATGTGTCCAGGGGAGGGCAACAAAGCTGGTGGTAGGGCTGGAAGGCATGTCCTGTGAGGACCAGCAAAGGACTTTGGGCTTGTCTCATTTGGAGAAAAGGAGGCTGAGAGGTGACCTCATTGCTCTACAGCTTCCTGAGGAGGCGATGTGGAGAGGGAGGTGTTGATCCCTTCTTCCCTGGGACAGGACGTGTGGGAATCATTCAAGGTAGATTTGGACTTGACATTAAAAAAACATTTACTTTCCATGAGGGCAGTCAAACACTGGAACAGGCTTCCTTAAGAGACGTGGTTGATGCCTCAAGCCTGTCAGCGTTTAAGAGGCATTTAGATCATAATATACTTTAACTTTTGGTCAGTCCTGAATTGGTAAGCCAGGTGAACTATATGATCATTGTAGATCCCTTTCAATAGAAATATTCTGTTCTATTCTAGATAGTGTGAGATACTTAGCATCACCGAGAGAGAGCTACCACACACAGTTGTTTTACACTACAGGAGACACACAGAGGTAGCCTGCACCTACTCAAAACAAGATGCTCTGTAGGAACAGTTGGGGAGCTCATGGCCATTGGGACATCTCACACAAACCCCTCACCCTTCAGGGGGAGTAAAGTTCTCAGAGGAATCAAGATGCCAACAGTGGGGTTCTCCATGATGCTTACCCGGCTGTCCCCAAGGTTGGCTATGTAGAGAATGTTGTCGACAGCTAGGACACAAGTGGCTGTAGTGCCATCCTTCCATGCTGGCTTCCTAAAGAAACAAAAATGAGATTATTGAGGGGGTAAACTGTTTAAAAAGTTAGTCACAGAGTACTCCTGGGGACTCAAGGAAGTGTCATGTGCGTCATGGGTTTGAGTTTGGTGGAGTTTTTTTGTGAAAGTGGGGGTAGACTCGTGTGAAGATATGAGAGCCTCCCCCACTCCCAGGTAGGAGTTGGACCCGCCTCTGGCCAGGGCCAGGCCAATCAGCGCCTCCATGATCAACGTATTTCAGAGGTGACACCATTGTTCTTTTACTCTCTTTTGGTTTTGTCTTGTTTTGAGTTGTCCTGTCTTTAATGTGGCGGAGTGTTTTTTTCTGTTGGAGGAGGGGGAGGTGAGAAGAGAACACAGGAACGTCACCCTGAGAAGAAAGAGGGGGAGAAGAGTCCCAGAGGAGGAGAGGAAGAAGGGTTCCAGAGCAGGACCTTTCACTGAAGCCCGTGGTGGCTGAGATGGCAGGAAGGTGATTTTGCCTGTCAGTTGAGGGAATCGACAGCGGTGACGGCATCCAGGATATGCCGGTACATGCAGAGCCCCATGCCAGAGGGCAGAGAGACCGACGTGCCTGAAGCGATCTGTGGCCCCAAGGGACTCCCGAGGAGGAAGAGAATTGCCTTCTGTGAGGTGGACACCACATGGCAGGAAGGAGAGACTGTGATGAATCCTCTTTCTCAAGGAGAATCTGCCATGGACAATGAGTAATGGCCAAACGGACTGCACCCTCCCACTCTCTGTCCCCCTTGCACTGATGGGGAGGAGGAGGTAGCTGGGAAGATGGGAGGGGTGGAGGGCGAAGTGTATTTAAGATTGAGTCGTATTTATTGATGTATTCCTCTCACTATCCTACTCTGTAAATGGTGGTGGTGAATTAAAACTATGTTTCTCTTCCCAAGTCGCTTTGATTCTTTTACTTACCATCTTAAATGGTAGATTATTACCCTCCCTA